TCCCACTTATACGCTTAGAATAGGCAAGTATATAGAGATCACAGTTTGTAAGTGGCTACCAGGGGTGGGCGGGAGGGAGGGGAAAGGAAGCCACAACGTGTAGGGGATGCTGAACTTCTGTTAAGGGTGATGAAAAAATTCAGGAACGGTTAATGGTGATGGTTGAACATGGTGAACATACTTAATGTCACTGAACTACGCATGTGAAGATTTGTTGAAATGGCAAATGTTTAGCTACCTATCTATTTACGACAATAACAAAAAGATATTCAAGATAAAAACTTTTTAAAAAGACGTCAGTGAAACCAAACATTTGATAATTATAAATAACATTTTAATTTAGAAAATTTTAGAACATCAAGTAAATGTAAATTTATAACAATATACGGTATCATTCTGGTCTTTGTTATTAGCAGATAAAATAAATAACAAGTATTCAAAACATTAAAATCAACACAGTTCCAAAACACAAAATGTAATTAGTCTTGAAAAATTGAAGATGAAATATTGTTTGATCCCTTTTAAAGCAGAATCTTAAAATCAAAGTATGTCATGTCACATGGCACAAGTATTTTTGTTTCTGTAAAATTTTCCAGAAAAAGCTTTTCTTGACTTTACCCGAGTGGAAACTGGTAAGAAGATGTATTTGTGAGATACACCGACAAGGCCTTTCAACTTTTTTTTTTTCTAGGGACTACAGTCGTTTATTTATAAGGCATCCTAGTTTTTGTTTTGAAAGCATTTCCAGTTTGTCTTAAATTCTTTAGATTTATCTTGTTCAGATGGGAATTCTGATGCAATATTTCCTGTATCAGTTTCAAAACTATCATGTTGCTATTCCACATGTTTGGAAAGTCTGTGAATAGAGTAACAGTTACTCTTACAACAGAGTTTTGCTTTGTCTACTTCCATACAACCTCTGAGTAGGGCTCAAGGCATGTTTCACAGTTCAGATTTTTCTTGACATTGTCATTGTCTCCTTTTAAAAACATACACAAAATGGAGAGAAGAGTGTGATGAACATCCACACCTGGCTTCAACGATTATCAGCTCAGGGCCAATTGTGTTTCATCTATCCCCTATCCATTCCTCCCACCCCAGCTGGATTACGTTGAAGCCAATCCAAGACATCATATCATTTCGTCTGTAATTACTTCAGCGTGCAGCTCTAGAAGCAACCAACCAGTTGCAGTCAAGTCAGTTCCAACTCATGGTGACCCCATGAGTGTCAGAGGAGAACTGTGCTCCATAGCGTTTTTGATGGCTGATGTTTTGGAAGCAGATCGCCAGGCCTTTCTTTCGAGGTACCTCTGAGTGGGCTTGAACCTTCAATCTTTTGGTTAGCAGCTGAGCATGTTAACTGTTTGCACCAACCAGGGCCTCTTCTCTAGAAGAAAAGAGCTCTTTAAACATAACCACGGTACTATTATCACACTTTAAGTATTGATAATTTCTTATTGTCTTAAAATATGCAATATTCAAATTTCCCGAGTTTTCTCATACATTTTTTTTTTTTAACTCTGAAATGAAAGTATTGGACCAATGAAAATACAGTGTTGGCACTAAGGTTCAGTCTTCGTGAATAGAGCATGGCAACCCCGAGGTGGAAGATGCAAGGAACTGGGCCAGACCCTGCCTTTGGATTCAGAGTACTGTAGGCAGCAGAGGTCATTCAGTCGTTCAACAAAATGAAAAGTAACACCATGCCCAGCCCTAGGCCAGTCCCCGCAGACAGAGCAGTGACCAAGACAAACTCGTCCCTACCTGAGGGCAGCTAGGGCCGTGGCATTTAAGTGTCAAGTTTGCACGTGGAACTATGTGTACCAAGCGCAGTGGGATTTGGAGGCAGGTGGAAGCTAATTTTGCCCTAGTAAGCATCATGGAGGAGCCTTGGTGGCACAGTGGTTAAAGCGCTCAGCTGCCAACCAAAGGGTTGGCAGTTCAAACCCACCAGCCAGTCTGTCAGAGAAAGATGTGGCAGTCTGCTTCTGTAAAGATTACAGCCTTGGAAACCCTATGGGGTAGTTCTGCTCTGTCTTACAGGTCACTATGAGTCGGAATCAACTCAGCGGCAGTGGGTTTGGTTTGGTTTGGTTTTGGTTAAGCATCATGGAGCAAGGGATATTTCAGTTTAGTCTTGAAGAATGGGTAGAATTTTGCCAGGAAGACGTGTCTCACTCGTGCAAACAGCAGGAGCAAAGGCAGGGAGGCGTGAAAGTCCCTAGTGTGCAAGGACAGGATACATGACAGGAGGCACCTGGCAAGGCTGGTGGGAGGTGAGGTGGGAACGGGTGGGTCATGGGGGGCTTGAGAACTATTCTAACGAGTGGGGCGTTCTGGAACCTTCCAGAGAGGACCCTACAGCTTTGTTGTACGACATAAAGTATGGACGGTGAGTCAGGAGAGCAGAACCTTGCGGGAACAGTGAGGAGTTACTTGGATATCTGAGCACTTCCTGGAGACCTACCCCTACTAGACCAGAAGCCCCATGAGGGCAGGCCTGTGTCTGCCTTGATCTCCATGGATCTCCAGGGTTGGCACAGTGCCTGGCACACAGAAGGTGCTCAATATATGTCTACTGACTGCTGACCTCCAGTGCTCCCAGTGCAGGGCACTCCTGCCCACCTCCACCATCACCCATGGCGTTGCCGAAGGAGCTTCCTCCAGCCTTAAGCCCATTGCTGTCAAGTTGATTCTGACTCATGGCAACCCCACGTGTTATGGAATAGAGCTGCTTCTTAGCGTTTTCTTGGCTTAATCTTTAAGGAAGCAGATTGCCAGGCCTTTATTCTGCAGCACCACTGGGTCAGTTTGAACCACCAACCTTTAGGTTAGCAGTTGAGTGCAAATTGTTCGCACCACTCAGGGACGTTTTTGGCCTGAGGCTCATGGAAATGGGGCTTTTCCAAATGCATGAGGCATTAGACTTTAGGATCTGGGTCCGGTTGCCCTGGACCAGGAGGTGGGGCAGGGGCACATGGAGAAAGTCTTAGAGATGAGCTTCTCAGCTGAGTATACGAGGAGATGACTATTGGACATGCAGTGAACATGCAATGAACATGCAATGAACATTGGTGTACAAGTCTCTGTTTGAGTTTCTGATTTCAAGTCATTTATCTCCTTTTAATAGCCTTAGTGCTTTGGTTAAAAAAACAAAAAACAGTCACTCATTCTGGGAAAACTCCGTTGTTGTTGTCAGCTGCTGTTGAATTGGCCCTCGGCTCATGGCAGCCCCATGCACAACAGAGTGAAGTGCTGCCCAGTCCTGCACCATCGCCATGATCTGTTGCGGATGGAACTGTTGTGATTCATAGGGTTTTTATTGGCTGATTTTCAGAAGTAGATTGCCAGGCCTTTCTTCCTAGTCTATGTTAGTCTAGAAGCTCTGCAGAAACCTGTTTAGAATCAAAGCAACATGAAAGCCTCCACTGACAGATGGGTGGTGGCTGTGCATGATGGGCATTGGTCAAGGATTAAACCTGTGTCTCCCTCGTGGAAGGTGTGAATTCTACCATTGAATCACCACGGCCCCTGGGAATACTCTAGTGTCCTAGAAAAGTAAAAACAAAAAAAACCAAGCCTGTTGCTGTCAAGTCGATTCCAACTCATAGTGATCTCATAGGGCAAAGTAGAACTGTCCCATAGGGTTTTCAAGGCTGTAATCTTTATGGAAGCAGACTGTCACATTTTTCTCCTGAAGAGTGGCTGGTGGATTCGAACCGCCGACGTTTAAGTCAGCAGCCAAGTGCTTAACCACTGCACCACCTGGGCTCCTCGAAAGTAGGAAGAAGAGAGTAAAGCAAAGTGAATCACTACTACAAAGAGAGAACCACAGTGCACGTTTTGGTAACTATCCTTCCAAATGTTTTCTAAATACAAGCAGTTAAATGTAACACGGTTTTATATGGATGGTATTACATGATTTACGCTGGTCTATAACCTGCCTTTTTCCTTGAAGGCATGTCAGGGCGCCGTTGCTGTCTTCCCACGATCTGTAACATATCTAATCACCGTGCAGTACAGTTTTGCATGGATGTACCATAACTTACTCAGCCAGCTCTCTAGTGCCAGGAATTTGGATTGTTTCCAATTTTTCTCTGCAACGTGCTGTAAAGAATATCATTTTATATTCAGCTGTTTTCGGGTATGCAATAATCGCCTAGCAGTAAATATCTAGAAGCAGGATAGCTGGGACAAAGAAAAGGCTCAGTCCACACACTGAGTCCCAAAGCCAAGCTGAGAGGTCACCATGGCAACCGCGTGCCCTCGCGAACATGGAGAGCCCATTAGCCACAGCTCCAGCCAGGAGGTGGGTCAGAGCTGAGGGAGGATCAGTCTGTTTTCAAGCAAATGATAAACCAAGGGCAGAGGGAGCATTCATGCAGGATTGAGATGGTTTAGGGCACATGGTGATAATAGCCACCATTTATTGAGTGCTTAGCCCTGGTGGCTCAGTGATTAAGCGCTCAACTGTTAAGGTAAAGGTTGGCAGTTTGAACCCACCTGCTGCTTTGCAAGAGAAAGGTGTGGCAGTCTGCTTCCGTAAGGATTGCAGCCTTGGAAACCCTATGGGGCAGCTCTGCTCTGTCCTATGGGGTCTCTATGAGTCAGAACCGACTTAACGGTAGCAGTTTTTATTGAGTGCCTGTTAACTGGCAGATCCCGTGGCTTCTCATCCTCATAGCAGCCACTGATGCTTTTATTACCCTCGTCTACCTGATACAAAAATTCAGGATTAAGTGTATTAAGTCATCTGTCAAAGGGCACACAGTAAATGAGGGAGCCAGGATTTGAAGTTAGCCTGTCTCCATGCCTCAGAATTCTCCTTACACCTCTGTCTCACTCCCTCCTCCCACCCTGAGTGACCAGCGAGCCATCACCAGCTCTCCCCCGTCACCATCTCTGCATCCTTCAGTCCTGTTCCCCTGCTCCCCTGTGCGTCATGTCCACCGCGTTAGGTGTGGTGAACACTGATTCTTCACCTGGGCTCTGTTCTCCAGGCTTCGCCCTGGCCACCTGCTGCTCTGTGCTGAACTACACGGACAGTTCCCCAGACTGTGACTCTCTCCCTGCCTCCGTCCCTTTGCTCCTGCTGTACCCTTTGCTAGACTGCCCTCTCTCCCCATGGTGCTGCACTCCTCTTTGTAGTTGTGTTGTTGGGTGCTGTCGAGTGGATTTCGACTCATAGTGACCCCACGTGACAGAGAACTGCCCCATAGGGTTTTCTAGGCTGTGATCTTTACCGGAGAAGATTGCTAGGTCTTTCTTCTGCAGAGTCACTGGGTGGATTCGAACGGCCAAACTTTTGGTTGGCAGCCGAGCACTTAACCACTGTGCCACCAGGGCTCCTTCTAGTGTTTATATGTATACACACGCAGAGAGAGAAAGAGAGATTGATTTATTTTGAGAAATTGGCTCACGCAATTGTGGGGGGCTGGCAAGTCCAAAATTGGTAGGTCAGGCTGGAGATTCCTGCAGGTTTCTGTCCCAAGGAAGAGGGCAGAGAGTAAAGTTCTTCCAAAATTATCTATTTATATTCTGGAGCAGAACACACTGGAGGGAAACTCCCTTTTCATCTGACTGATTGATTACATTAGATTACTTTATGGAAGATGGTTGCATTACAAGTTCCATTAGATTACATTATGGAACAGCAACTAAACTAGTGTTTGACCAAACAACTGGAAACCATGGCCCAGCCAGGCTGACATATAAAATTAGCCATCATACTCTTCAAGACTTAGCTGGAGCTTCATTTCTTCAAGAAGTTTTTCCTGACTCCCTAGTATGGTATGCCTACTCTGTGTTCCCATGGAAGCATCTGGTGCTAACCACTGTTTACCATCAGATGTGCTGTGTGGCAAATGTTAGTGTTGATCTCCTACACTAGAATGTGAACTCCTAAGGGGTGGAGTCATCTTTTCCACACCTCCATTCCCATCCTACCATATCCTTGGACACCCCGCAGGTATTCAGTAAATGTTTGCTGAATGAATGAATGAAAGCTCGAGCATATTCCCATCCACTCTCTATTTCTGCTCCCAGCTCCAGGGCAGGGGAGAACAGGAGACTGCATTAACCCAACCTGATTGGATGAGCACCAGCCCCGGTTCCCTGTCTCTCCCCTGGCTGGTTCCTAAGCATCATTGCACAACATCATCTCCCAGCTTCCACTCTCTTTAAGCCTGTCCGTCCCCTCCTCACACCTCCCACTCTTTCCCTGCCAGGGAAACTGAGGTACTGGGTGAATCCTTTATTTACACCCCCCCAACACACCCACTTTATTTTGCCCATAAATCGAAGAAATGTGGCTCTTCCTCATCCCTGTCTGTGCTCCTCTCCTTCGGGAGGGGGGGGGTCTCAAGTTCTCCCTGGCTTTGAAAGTCACCTCTCTCTGCTCCCAAATGTATCTGTAGTGTTTCAACTCTCCTTCAAGACATGGCCACTCCCCGCCCCCCTCCGTTTTGGTTTTTTAAAATAATTTATTGAGGTGAAATGTATATAACATAAAACATAAAACACCATTTTAAAGTGTACAATCACCATGTTATGCCACCACCGCCTCTATCTAGTTCTAGAACATTTTCAGCACACTCCAAAGTAAAACTCCTGACCTATTAAGCAGTTTCCCCCGTCTTAGTTATCTAGTGCTGCTATAACAGAAATACCACAAGTGGGTGACTTTAATAAACAGAAATTTATTTTCTCACAGTTTAGGAGGCTAGAAGTCCGAATTCAGGATGCCAACTCTAGGGGAAGGTTCTCTCTCTCTCTCTGCTGGCTCTGAGGGAAGGTCCTTGTCCGTTTTCAGCTTCTGTTTCCTGGTTTCTTGGAGATCTCATGCGGCGCGGCATCTATCTTCCCCAAATGGGCTTCCTTACTGCTTGCTTAATCTGCTTTTTTATATCTCAAAAGAGATGGATTTAAAACACACCCTACACTAATACTGCCTCATCAACATAAAAAAGAAAACCCATTCCCAAAGGGATTATAACCACAGTTACAGGAGTTAGGATTTACAACACACACTTTGGGGGACACAGTTCAATCCATAACACCCCCTATTCTCCCTCCCTTTAAGCCCCTGGCAACTACCAATCTGCATTCTGTCTGTATGGATTTATCTATTCTGGATACTTTATATAAATGGAATCATAGGATATATGACTTTTGCAATTGGCTTTTTTCACTTAGCATAATGTTTTGGAGCTTCATCCACATGGTAGCATGTATCAGAACTTCGTTCCTTTTTAAAGCTGAATATATTCCAATTTGTTTATCCATTCATCTGTTGATGGACACTTGGACTGTGCCCACGTCTTAGCTATTGGGAACAGTGCTGCTGTGAACATGCATGTATATGGTCACTTATTTTTAAACTGCCAGCCAGCATTTCTGTGCAAGTCAAACTCAAGTTGTCTTCAATCTGCCTGTTCTTCCTCACCTCCTTCATTGGGCTCTGAAGCGTGCTCTGAGACCTTGGCTAATGTTGCTGAGTCTCTTTCTCTGTGATCAGACAGCTGACCTTTAATACCAGGCATTCCAAATGCAGACCTTCCAGGGGATGATCCTGGTAGGAGTGGTAGGGCTGGGGTACCCCCAGAGAGCGCACACCCCACGTGAAGGAGCTGCGTGGCTTGGCTGCATCCAGTTGGTGCCATGCGGGAACCTACAACCCAGGGCTATAGATCTTCACATTTGTCAAGGGAAACATGGAGCCCAGGCGTTTTTGTGAGGTCCCTTGATTTTTTAATGTTGGGCCAGGTTTGTTTGTTTTTTGAACAACGTACATGCCAAAAGTGTCTGCTTTCCACACTTTCCACCCACTGTTGTTGGTGTTGTGTGCCGCCGAGTCAATTGCGACTCATAGTAGCCCTGTATAACAGAGTAGAACTGCCCTATAGGGTTTCCTAGGCTGTAGTCTTTATGGGATTGAATTACCAGGTCTTTTCTCCCACAGAACCGCTGGTGAGTTTGAACCCCCGACCTTTTGCTTAGCAGCTGAGCACTTAACCATTGCGCTACCAGGGCTCCTTTCATCCCATTACACCCCTCCTTTTCGTTGTTGCTGCCTCACCCTCATGGGGCTGATCTAGCCTCTATGTGCTCCCTATTGCTTGCTGTCCCTGGATATGGACAGCTTCCAGTCTGTCTCATCTATTTATCAGACTCTAAGTTCTTTCGGGACATTGTTGTTTAATGGTAGAATTCTCACCTTCCATGCAGAAGACCCAGGTGGATTCCCAGCCAATGCACCTCACACACAGCCACCACCCATCTGTCAGTGGAGGCTTGTATGGCACTATGAATAGGTTTCAGTGGAGCTTCCAGACTAAGACAGACTAGGAAGAAAGGCCTAGCAATCTACTTCCAAAAATCAGCCACTGAAAACATATGAATCATAATGATCCAGTCTACAACCGATTGTGGGGATGGTGCAGGACTAGGTAGCATTTCATTCTGTTTCATTGCATGGCATGGGGTCACCATGAGTCAGGGGCCAACTCAATGGCAGCTAACGACAACAAGAAGCAGCTCTTTGAGGCACTCAGATATTTAACTCAGAAGCCTAAGTCTCCCCCAATGCCTAGGACAAGTCCTTGAATATTTTTGGCATCCACTTACTATGTATTGAGTAAATGCCTGCACATGGGTTGAGTCTGAGGCTTCCAGGGAAAATACTTTGGGTGTAGCTTACAACAGGAGCTTGGGAGAGAGGGGGTGGCAAAGGATGGAGACCTGGGAGGAACTCAGGATGGCAGCAGCTGCAGGGAGAGGAGAGATGTCCTAGCAAATACTGTTCGAGAGAGAGAAGAGTTGAGGACAAACAGTCTGAGGGGGAAAGGATGCTTGAGTCCTCAGCAGGAATGAGAAGAGGTCTCCAGGGCTAAAGGAAAGAGCACTGCTTCCGTAGAACACCTATGCCGTGGTCTCAAGCTCGTCTGGTCAAGGGCCCTTTTTTTAACCAACGGAAACACTGAAGCCCAGAGAGGGGAAGTGAGTTTACTCAACGCCTCAGAGAAGCACCATGGCAGAACAAGACTCCAAACTCAGGTGTCTTGAGTCCAGTGCTCTCTCTGCCTCTGCAGCCTTCTCAGATGAAGACATCCCTGCCCCTTTTTTCCCACCCGCTTGGTGGGTGGGCCTGATTCTGGTAAGGTGCACAGTGTGGGGCCTGAGTCCTACTCCCCAAGCAGAATAGAAAGAAGGCCCAGGGTGCGGCTGGCAAACCCTGTGTGCAGACCTGGGTGGCCTGTGGGGCAGGAGAGGGGAGAGGACTGTGAAAGGAGATGTGAAGAGGGGCCACATCTCCACCTTTCTCCACCCCTGCTTGCCCACAGCAGCAGCCTCCTGTGGGAAAGTGGGTGAATGAGCAAGAATGAGAAAATGTTTGAGAAGGAAAATCAACCCAGAATGCCTCCTGCTTAGTGGGGCTGCCTTCATGGCAACCCTGGCCCCTGCCACCACCACAGCCTGCACACACTTCTTCAATGGCTTTGGCCAGAGGAGAAGACATACCTTCCACTCTACCAAAGGAGCCTGGGGTAGGCAGAACAATGGCCCCCTAGAGATGTCCATGTCCTACTCCCCAGAACCTGTGAATATGTTAGCTTACATGGCAAAGAGGAATTAAAGTTACAGATGGAATTAAGGTTGCTAGTCAGCAGATTTTAAAATAGATTATCCTGGGTTCCCTGGGTCTGACTCATGTCAGACTTCTAACCCACAGAACTGTGAGATAACAAATTGGTATTTTTTAAGCTACTAAATTTGTGGCGGTTTGTTACAGCAGTGATGTTGTCAGGTTGCTGTTGTTAGGTGCCATTGCGTCGGTTCTGACTCATAAGGACCCTGTGTACAATGGAACGAAACACTGCCTGGTCCTGTGCCATCCGCACAACTGTTGCTATGTTTGAGCCTGTTGTTGCAGCCGCTGTGTCAGTCCATCTCGTTGAGGGTCTTCCACTTTTTCTCTGACCCTCTACTTTACCAAGCATGATGTCCTTCTCCAGGGACTAATCCTTCCTGATAACATGTCCAAAGTATGCGAGACGAAGTCTCTCCATAATAGGACACTCATATAGAGTCCAAAG